GGCCACGGCAGCCCGAGGCAGGAAGATGCCGTCCACACAGACCCACACCGCCTCTGTAGGCTCCTTCCCAGTGCCCTCCTGCACATCCAGGCTCTTCGAGACGGTTTCTCTGAGCCCTCGAGGGGCTGCTCGCAGCATACGTACACAGACAGACCCTCCTGCCTCGGCCGCATACACTTCTGTCTCTCTCTCTGACCCGTAGGGCTTCTTGGCCAGCTTGAGGGCTCTTTGGACACGTCTGCTCTCACACCCTTCACACCCTTGATTCCACAGTTGTGGGTCAAGCCCCCACAGTTTTTTGCCCAAGGCTACACGAAGGGTTAGCCGGCGGAGCCAGAACCGGGGCTCAGGCCTCCTTGTCCACATTCCGCTCTTTTCCCCTGACCTTACGCTTCCCACCCACCGCTGCAGGTGGTCCACCAAGGGCTTAGACGTCTTCCCCCAGGTCTCGGCTCCTGAGGCCTAGCCTGTGCCTCTCCACCCAGCCTCGGGCCCCGTACAGGCTCGTCCTCTCCCCTCCTCACAGACCTCACACAGGGGACCCCCGTGCCTTCGGCTAGGGGTCCAGCCCCTTGGCCCTTAGGTGCCCCCAGTCTGCTGGCTGTTCATGCCCAGCATGCGAGACACAGTGCCTGCCCACATTCTCACCCTCGAGCTGGGACGTGGCTGGGCCCTCCTGGGAGTCTCGGGTCAGACGCAGGTGGGTGAGCTGCCTGTGTGGATTCGCAGGAGGTCCCTCGGTGCTCTCGCGTCAGTCCGCGCGCCTCCTTCTGAGCAGCAGGGCTTGGCTCTCAGCCTGGTCCTGTGTCCAGCTGGCCGGGCAGGCCCTGCCAGGCTCTCAGGAACCCCCCATCCCCCCCGCCCCCAGACAGAGCCAGTGCCCCCAGGCCTCGTTCATTCATTCTCGCCTCCGCCTGCCCAGCACCCTGCTGCCCGGTCTGCCCACCTCTGTCCCCCCTGTGCCTGCCACGTGGCCCCCCCTCGTCCCTGCTGACAGCCGCTGCCGCGCATTGCACTGCCCCAGCCTGAGCCTGCCGAGACTTGCAGCGTCTTGTTTCTGTTCGTGCCCATCGAGCCACACACCGCCCTGGGCTGCCTGCTTGTGCCCACGCCCGCTGTCGCAGAGCCCCCTGGTGCCTGTTTGCAGTGACCGCTGCCCGCACTCCTGGCACCCACTCCCTCCACCCCATCCCGAACCTCCCACTTGCTCCGCTGCCAGGCCTGCTGTCCTCCCTCTGCCGCCCTCTGTCCACCGTCCACGCCTGGCTCACGGCCTCCTCGCCGCGGCCCCCCGTGCTCCCGGCCCTGTGCTCCCTGCTGCCCGCTCCGCTGTGCTCCTCCGCCTGTCAGCCTCCCCTGGGTCCTTCCACTGTCTCATTCTCACTGTGGCAACCTTAGTTTTTCTTTTCGTTGTTTCCGTGGTGACCTCCCTTGCGCCATTGTCCACGAGGAGGCCTCGAGACCTGTCTGTCCCTAGGCGTGCGTCTCGGGACCTCCCCCACTCTCATCGTCGCTGTTGGGGCCACCTCCTCGCCCTCATCATCCTCCCCAGCAGAGCCATGCCTGCTCCGTGGCCGGTGTCCTTGTGACCCACCCCCTGGATGTGGCCATCGATGTCCCCAGTCTCCCCCATGACCTCGTGTACTCATTTTGTTGCCACTCTTGCCCTGCTTCCCATCCTGGGGGGCTGCCCCTCTGGGCTCCCAGGGAATCCTCTGGTGGTTGGGGGCCTCTTGGCTCACCAGCCTGTCCGGGGCAGGCTTACCCCATTCCCCCCAACCAGCTCTTTGGTCCGGGGACCTGGTGGCAGCAGAGTCCCATCCACCTTCCTCCTCCCTGGGCCGAAGGGGCAGAGGCTGTGGTGCCCAGGAGAGGCCTGGGGCAGGTGCTGACGCTGGAGCTGTGGGCAGTGGCCTCTGGCCCGGTTCTTCCTATTCCCGTGGTTGTGCGCCCCCCACCTGCACTTGCAGGCCTGTGCCCCGGCCTGTGCCCCGGGCTCCTGGCGACCTGGGAGAACAGGAAGGGATGGGGGCCCCGGCCGCCCAGTGGCGAACATTCCCTGATGAGCTGGACTGCCCAGTGGCCCCTGCCGCCTCCTCGTCCTCCTCCTCGTCCTCCTCCTCGTCCTCCTCCTCTTCATCCCGCTGCCGCCTCTCCCCAGGCACCTGGGTCTTTGCCCTCACCAGTGCTGACCGACTCGTGCGGGGCTTGAGTATAACTTGCCAAAATCTTTATTCTTTCGATATTTGCAGATATGTGCCACTGTTTCCAACTTTTCATCAACAAAAAGGCCTTTCCAACTCCTTCCAAATTAGAAGACCAGGTGGTGACACACAGCACCTCTGGACATTCTCCCCTGTTCGGGGCCGGAGGCGGGCCGGGCCCTGGGACTGCTCTCAGATGAGAAGCGGCCGCCGTGCTCCCCACTCCAGAGACCCACAGGAACCTTTGTAACTAACCCCCACCCCCAGGGAAGGCTAGGAACGCTGGAGCCCGCGGCTGGGGGCTGCCGGGGGACCAGGCCCGGCTGGACGCGCTGCGCCAGGCTCACTGCACCAAGAAGAAGGGAGCTCAGCCCCACGCCCGGCGCCGGGCCAGCGCAACACGGCCCAGAGGGGCGGGGGCGTGCAAGCGCCCGAGGGTCCGAGCGCCCGCCCGGCCCAGCTGCTCCTGGGGGGAGCTTTCCCGCCCCTCCCCCCTCTGCTCCTTCCTGCATGGACTTCTGCCGTTCCTGCTCCGCTCCGGATGCCACCGCCACCGCTGCGCGCTTGCCTTTCCCCCTCTTGGCCTCCCCGTTTCCTAGGATCCGCACTGGGGCGGGCTCTGCCCCAGGAGCCTGGCAGGGGCGCAGGGCCTCTTCTGGCCTCTCTCCTCTCTCTCTCCATCCACTGTGCCCCTCGGGCCTCGCCGACCGTGCTCGGTGCAACGTGCCATGTGGTGTCTGTGCCGCAGACGGGCCCACTGCCCGCTCACTTCTGGACTTTGCTGTCCCCCGGTTATCGTGCCCCATGCTCCCCGCCAGCCCTCAGCCCCACCGTCCACCTCTCCTCGCCCCCTCCCTTCTCGTAGGCCCCAGCCCCTGGGCTGCGCGCTCCTCGCGCCCTCGGTATGTTCCGTGTCCTTGCTCTTCTGTAAGGGGCGGGCCTGGCTCAGTGAACTTTGCTGCTCTGTACGGTGCCGTGTGTAAGAATAAACCCATTGGAATACTCGTGGTCTCCGTTCCTTCCCGGTCCCGCCGCCCCGGCCCTGCCCCACTGCTAGGGCCTGCCCAGGAGGAGGGCGGAGGGGAGGGCAGGGGAGTCCAGGTGGGCTGCTGTCCCCCCGTGGGCCCTGGGCCCTTTTAACACGCCTCTTCTTTTCTCTTTCAGTCTCGGAAGGGTGCCGACTTGGACAGAGAGAAGAAGGCCGCCGATTGCAAGGTGGACAGCATCGGGAGCGGCCGGGCCATCCCCATCAAACAGGTCAGCGCTCCTTTCCCCTGTGGCCCGAGAGCGGTGGGGATGAGGGATGAGGTCCCGGGGAACACCGCCAGTGGTCCTTTCCTTCCGGCCCCCCCACCTCCTGCCGGGCCTGAATGCTTCACCTGACGGAGGTTTTCCTGCTGAGGACAGACCTCCGGGAAGCCTGCCCCCCCCCCTCCCCGGGGCAGGAGCAGTCCCTCCGCGGGCCCTGCCCATTCCTGCTCACCGCCACCGGGGGGCAGCAGAGAGCCGCCGGCCGTGCTCAGCGGCTCTACCCTGGTGCTTCGGGAGTTGGGCGGCCGGCCTACCTGTCCCACTCCCAGAAAAGGAACTCCCAGAAGAGGACCCTGAGGGGCACGCACTGAGGGGCACGCTGAGGGCTGCTCCTGCCCGGGGCTCATTGGTGCAGTTTTCTCCGTGGGAGCCTCTGTTCCCTGGAAAAGCTGAGTTGAGCTGCCCCCCCCCCCCCCCCGTCCTGGGCGCCTCCTTGCCCAGTCTGCCTGGCAGGGCTGGGCCTCCGGAAGCTTGGAGCTTCCCAGACCCCCTGGGTGGGTCCCTGTGCTGGAAAAAGACCTTGAACGCAGCAGAGCATCCTTGTGCAGGAATGGTGGTGTGTTGGGCAGGGCTGTAGGGCTGCTGAGCCGGCTGGGTAGAGCCGGGAGGTGTCTGTGGAGCTCAGGCAGAAGCGTGCTGGCTGATACGCTCGTGAGGACAGGGACAGGGGCAGGGGCTTGGTGGTCAGGACGCTGGGCCCGGCCCAGATCTTTGCAGGAGCTGGTGGTTAGACAGGGTGTGTCTATAGGGTCCGTGTTGTCTGTCAGGTTTTGACTACAGAGGAGACTGGGGTGGCCAGGTCACTGGAGCTCGGCCAGGCCAGGGCCCCGTGGTCAAGGTTTGGCCCTCCAGGCTGGGCCTTCTGGGGCCCGTGGGCAGCCTGACAGAATTCCTGTGTTCCAAGTGGGATTCTGACGCCGCAGGGAAGGTCTACGTAGAACGGAGAGCCCGGAAAGGGTGTCGGGGTCCCAGAGGGCAGGTGGGGAGCCATCTGTTGCTCCCGGTCCTGTGTCTCTGCTTCGACCCTCCGCTGGAATGTCATCCCACGGGGCCTGGCAGAGGCGGCTCTAGCTGGATCACCTCCGGGCAGCAGCCAGTCTCCTTGCCTGGCTGTGTGTCTGGGTGCAGAATCGGAGCCCACAAACCTGTCGATGGTGTGATCGCGTGTCTCTCGGGTGGTGCAAACCGAGCGCCTCCCTGGCAGGTCCTTTCTGAGCCTGATGCACACACATAAACGTTTAATACTTAAGAGAACACTTTCTCTTGGGCCCTTACTTTGAAATAAGGCTAGCCCCAATGCCTCCTTCCTGTTTGGGGTAGAGGCTAATTCGTCACTTCCCTGAATCCCCCACATGGAGGGGAGGGAGAGCTGGAGGATGGGGCTGGAGCCCTGCGAGCTTGCACCTGGGGCTCTGGTCCAGCCCCAGGTCAGCTGAGTCGCCTGGCTGGTATAGGCCGCTAAATCTCAGGGACCCCCTGTAGGAGCGGACCCTGTCAGGAAGGAACCTCAGCGAGCTCTCATGCCACAGCGGGGCCCCACAGGGCCCTCAGGGTGTGCCTGCATGGAGGTGGGGGCCGTCCACGCTCTAGTTTTCCCAGCCCCGTGGCCCTGCCTGGTGCTTTCCCCCAACCTCCAGCTGCCCGGGACCGGTGTGGCCCCCTTCCTTCCCGCCCACCCTCGTGTCCCGGTCTCCCCATCCCCTTCCTTCCCTTCCCCCCCACTCCTGCTGGGAGTGGAGATTGCATTTCAGTTGCCATTTGCATTCCCAATCAATCCGGACTCCGCAATTAAGCCGGCTGGCGGAGCTGGGAGGGAGGCGGCAGCAGAACGGGTCCTCTGGGGGCTGTCGCCTCCGCACCGCTCCCATTCCGCCCCAGATTGCTTCCTGCTCCGCCGGGCGCAGCCGGGCCGGCCAGGGAGGGGAGCAGGAACCCCTGTAGCTCGTCTCCCTCCTTGGAGGGCAGGATGCAAGGGAATGGGGAGGAGCCAGGCAGGCAGGCCTCTCACCAGCCTGGCCTTTTCTGCTTGTTTCGTGTCCGGGCGCAGGCGGGCAGGTGAGAGGCAGGCCGGGGGCGCGAGTGGGCGGCAGGCAGGTCGAGTCCCTGGCCAGCCGTGCTCACTTTCCTCCTTGCAGTCCTCCCACACCCCTGCTGACGGCGTGCTTGCTCATTAGTGCCAGGCTTCCCCTGCTTCCTCCCGGCCCGAGGCCCAAGTGAAGGAGGGGCCCGAGTGCTGGGTAGGAGAGGGTTCCCTCCTAGGCCGGCCCCCTGGGCCTCCTGATCCTGATTCCCTGCCTGGAAGAGGGAGGAAGCCCTGCATGTGAGTCCGCTTTCCCTACCTGGCCGGGAAACTGAGGCCCAGGCAGGTAACGGGACTTGTTTGATGTTGAGGGCTAGTTGGTGGCAGACCCGGGAGCAGAGCCGGGCTTCCCTTTCCCATGACCCGGAGCTGGAACTGGACCCAGGAGGGAAGGGCTCCAACGTGAGGAAGATGAAGAGTCCGGCGAGGGAGGGCAGGGCTCTGGTGGGAAGGATGTGAGAACAGAGGCTAGTCTGGAATCCCCTCTGAAGGCAGGGGGGTGTGGAAGACGAGCAGAAGAGGAGCAGGTGAGCTGGCCGCAGCAGCCATCTTCCCAGCCTTTCTGGAGGGCACAGGGTGAGACTGGGGGTGCTGCCTTCTCCAGAATCTGATTGTCGGTCCTGAGGGGTGTTGTCTGCAGTCAGGGGAGAGGGAGCAGCTGAACTCTTGCCTTGTTCCTGGCCTGGGAGCGGGTGGATACCATGCCCGGAAGCAGGTCACTGAGGCTCCTTTGCAGACCACAGGGCAGGGGTCTGACTGCCTTCTGGAATGTTCCATACAGTCTAGTGACGGTCCCGTTAATACCACTTGTCTTCAGATGCCACTTGTGAGGATGGGTCTCTCGTGCTGATGGGGACCAGGTCGAAGACTGTGTCCTCAGGTGACCCGGGACCCCCAACTCGATCTCATGTGGCCGCATCTCCCACGGCGGCATCTGTCTTTTGGGGGCGGCGGGATGAGGGAGATCGGGAAAGGAAGGAGTGGTAATGAGGATGTAAAACATCTGTTGAAAGGTGGGAGACTCTCAGCTCTGTCTTGGTTCCTGCGGGGCAGATCGGGCAGGAGGTTCCAATCACCCGTTGGCTTACCTCCTCCCTTTAGGACTGGGCCTTCTCTTCGGAAGAACTTAGGAAGTGGGAGAGAATCAGGGTTTACCCTGCACCCTTGGGCCCCAGGACCCTAGCTGATGCTGTGTCTTCACACTTGAGTTTCTTCATCCCTGTTTTCCTCCTTGTCTTAGGGCAGGGCCTCCATTCCTCAAGGAGGAGCCGTTACAAAGCCACATCTTCGAGTTCCCTCTTTTTGGTCCCCACTGGGGTGGACTCTGGGTGCTTCCCCTGCTCTCTCCTAGCCTCTGCTGGTCCTGACTCCTCCCTGCTTGAGCTCCTCCTATGTGGCTGTCTCTTCGGAGGAGTTTTGTTTGGGAATCTCCAGCAAATACTGTCTCCACTCAGCCCTCCTGCATTTGGGGCAGGGGGGCTCCTGGGGGTGATGCTGGTCCTGAAAAGCTGCCACTGAGATCCGTTCATGGCACTTTGTCCTCTCCCTGACCCCAGCTCCTATCCTCAGCCATTTTCCTGTGCTGTCTTGTCGTTTCAGGGAGAGAGCCAAAGGTGGGCGAGGGTGTCTTGGGGGGTATCCTTAGAGGAAGGTGAAGGCCACCCTTGGGTCTGCCCTGTGGCCTTCCTCTCTCGGCCCACGGCCCCTTTCAGCATCTTTGACGGCCCCCGTCAGCTGGCTTCTCCCAGCGCACCCACCAGACGTTTGCTGGGCGTCTGCTGTGTCCCGGGCATGGTCACGGTGCTGAGGATGTGTCCGTGAACAGAACACACGGACAGCCTTGCTCTCACGGAGCTCGTGTTCATCCCTCTGCTCCTCTCCCCTCCACGCTGAGTGTGTCATAGGCTTGCACAGAGAATCTGGTTGCTGAGCTCTGTGGCTGGGTCTCCACACTGCCCGCCCCCGGGAGTCTGGGGCCTTCTAGGGACAGTTAGGGATTTCTGCCCTGAACATGTTCACCCAGCCCTGGAGACCTGCGGGCAGGAGCATCACTGCCCTCTGACACCCTGCCTCCTGGTGCTGGCATGGCCCCACGACTCCAGGGGATGCGGGGTCCATGGGACTAGGGAGGGGGGCCCCCAGGCTGCTTCCTGGAGGACGGTCAGGGATAGCTGCGGCTTCCATCCTTTATAGCCTCTCCACTCAGACGAGGATGGGGGATGGAGGACGGGGTTACCTGGTGTCACCGTGACCTTCTCTGGGCCTGTCTCTGACCCAGCCTCTGTCCTCAGGGCATCCTGCTGAAGCGGAGCGGCAAGTCCCTGAACAAGGAGTGGAAGAAGAAGTATGTGACGCTCTGTGACAACGGGCTGCTCACCTACCACCCCAGCCTGCACGTGAGTCTGCGGGAGGCCTGGGCCGCCGGAAGGGCGGCAGACGCGGAGGGGCAGACCATAGGGTGAAGGGAAGCAGACGGACTGGCCCTTCGGAAGGGCCCCCGCCGTGGTGGCCCGGGGACCGCCCAGACCGCGAGGCGCAGGCCCGGGCTGAGCGCGCACTTCCCGCGGAGCTCCGTGGCGGCTGAGCCCATCGGCGAGCGCGCGGCCCCGGGATGGCTGCCTGTAGGCCGGGCCCCGCGCCGGTCACGCCCTCCGGCCCACGCGCTCCGCGCTTGCAGAGCTGGACTGGGCCCGTTGACGTGGAATTGCCGAGGCTGGGGTGCCAGTGGCGGTCAGCCAGGTGTCTTTGGGGGAGCCCCGTCCGTGGGGGATCCCTGGGTTCCTGGGCGTGAGGTGACGGAGAGCCGGAGGGCCGTTGGGCCGGGGCTGCCCGGAAGGGCACGGGTCCGCTTGGGAAGGGGAGCCTGGGGGCAGAGGGGTCTGGAGGGCGTGAGGTGCGGTGACAGCAGAGGGGCCCTTGGGGCAGGCCCCCCCGCCTGCCCCTCCCCGCACCACGTGGCTGCAGCACAGCTGTCCCCGGAATCCATCTCTGTCACCGCCCCACTGTGGGGCTAACGAGTTCTCCCGCGCAGCCCCTCAAGCACAGCACGTGGGCCGGCCCGGGAGCCCGGGGCCTGCCTCCGAATCTGCACAAGGTGTCAGGCCCGAGCCAGGAGGCGCTGGGGCCCGTGGTGCCTGCCCTAACCGGGGCCCGAGAGCACCGCCCGGTCGGCCCCCCGGGAAGACGCACCGGGGCCTGGCTCGGAGGGAGCCGGCGGGCACCTGCCTCCCATCAGGCCGGAGCCCAGCCTTGCCCTCCTGGGCTTCTCCCTGTCTGACTGCTCGGACACTGGCTCTTTCCCCCTTAACTTGGGGGCCACTGCTGGTTGGACTGTGTCCCCCTGCTGTCTCATCCTCCGCAGGGTGGGAGCTGGTGCCAGGATGCTGGGGGGGCTGCGGCGGGGCCACAGCCGGTGCCCTTGGGCATTTAGTCCAGCGGCCACCTCGTGCACAGACCTGGTCCTGCTGCTGAGTCAGTGAGGGGCGGCAAGGACAGGTGTCTGAGGAAGTCCCGGGGCATCGTGCAGGTGCGGGGCCTCCGTACCAGAAAGACGGCAGAGCCACGGTGCTCCCAGCTGAGGGGGGCCGCCACGCCCACTCGTAGGCCAGCCTCGTGCCTCTTAACTCGCAGCTGTTCGTACTGCCCCCCGCGCGTCCCGCCTTCACCCCAGGAAGAGGCACTGGTTCTCCTCAGGCAGCGTCTTGCCGGCGGAGCCGGGAACGAGCCTCCCGGAAGCACCCCAGCTTCCCCCGCCCCCATGTTGGGGCGGCCTCGCCTCCCCCTTGCTGCAGCCGTCCCCCTTCTTTCTGCCTGTGTGTCGCGCGGGCTGTGTTGGCTCCCTTTTCCTTGTCCCCACGCGTCAGGTGATGCAGGAAGCCCAGTGTGGAGCAGAGGGACAGGAAGGGGGTCTCGGGACGTGGAGGACGGTGTCGGGCGGTTGTGTTCGGTTCGGGTTTGGGAAGAGAAGGTGAAGGCTTGAGCGAACGCTGCTTTTCTGCTCAGCAGTCTAATTTTTTTTTATTTAGTTTTTGACAGAGAGACAGCGAGAGAGGGAACACAAGCGGGGGGAGTGGGAGAGGGAGAAGCAGGCTTCCCTGCTGAGCAAGGAGCCCGATGCGGGGCTCGATCCCACGACCCTGGGATCATGACCTGAGCCGAAGACAGACGCTAAACGGCTGAGCCACCCAGGTGCCCCTCTGCTCAGCAGTCTAGAGAGCGGAAGCGTGGTGGGTTGGTTGGGTCATCAAGGTCGCCCAGCCGGTGGCTGAGCTAATACCTGGACCCGTGACTTTGACTCGAAGCGTGACGCAGGTGGTTCTGCACTGTGCCCAGAGCACCTCTCTTCGGGGCTTGCCGACAAAGTGACTGGAGCGTTCACGTCCAGGCAAGTGTTGCCTAGACTGTTGTCAAGGAGGACGGAGGGAACCGACGGGCCGCCTGCCTGGGCCGCTCTGAGCAGCTCAGATGCCCTTCCAGCTTGTTGAACCGAGTGCACTTGGGTGCGTTCAGGGGCCAGGGACAGGATCTGGGTGCCAGGGGCTCAGCTCGCCACTGGCTGTCCGTGGCTCTGGCGTCAACATGTAGGTCTTCCTCGCACGCCAGAAGCCGGGAGGCCCTGGCCTGCACGGGGAGCAGCGGCCCTGCCCTGTGGATGCTTCTCTTCCCGTCGGGAAAGGTGTGGGAGGGTGAAAGGAGGAGCGAAGACCACAGTGGGGTCGTCCCGTGCTGCTCTGGGAGCAGGGTTGAGTCTACCACCAGCCGAGGCTCTCCGCTCCGTCCGCCCCTCTCGTTTCTCCCCTCCCCACCGCCGCGCCCTCTGTTGCTGCTCACCTGCCGTCTTCCCCAAGTGGCGCCCCTCGCTTCCTGGAGGTTCCCTCCCGCTGGGCAGCTGTGCCCGAGGAAGGGCCGTCGGTCACCCCTGAGGTGCACACAGCACTCGCGGCTTCGCCAGCTGCCATCGCGGGGACGGCTCCTGCCCGTGACCGCAGGAAGGGCTGCCGGGCAGGCCTCAAGCCTTACCCCCCCACCCCGCCTGGCCTAAGAGAGCCCGCCCCAGCCTCCCCCATCTTGCAGCCAGCGGAGCCATTCACACAATCACCTTCTGTTAATTCTATCTGCAACATCAATTAAATTGTTTGTAGAAACTAATTGAATGTGGCTTAATCACACATCTTAATAGCTTTCCACGCTCTGAACTCGTTGTTAATTCCAGCAATAAAACGAGATGAGAACGCTGGCTGGGTAATTAGCGAGGAGGCTGGGGAAGAAATTGCCGTTTGATGGCGGATAATAAAGGCAGCCGTGGTGACCGCTCTCCTGAGCCGCTGCTGCCACCGTGCTCCCCGTTCTGCTGACGGAGGGAAACGCCTTCGCTGTGCCCCTGACGTCCCCGTCCCCGCTCCGTGCGCTCCGTCTGCCGGCCCGGTGCTGGAGCTGGCCTGGCCCGGGGCTCGGCGCCAAGCGCCCCGGGGGCTGGCCTGTCCGCAGTGGTCGGAGGTGCTCCCGGGGGGCCAGGCCCCTCGCGTCAGTTTCTGGCTCCTTGGCCCTGAGCGGAGTCCCTCTGCGCGACTTGGGTTCTTGGTGTGGGGTCCGCGTCTCCGTGTCCCAGCCCGGGCATCCCGGGGCGTCACGTGGCCTGAAAACTGTTGCAGCTGCCATGACCTCCTTGTGAACTAGAGCAGCCCGCGCCCCTCCCCCAGGAGAGGGACCGCAGCTGTGCCTTCGGCCCAGCCAGCTGTTGACAGTTGTCGGAACAGCCGATCCACGATGCGACCGCGTGTGGGGACCCGGGACGGGTGTGCGCAGAAGCCGAGTCCGGGGGACCTCGGGCCTGGGACCGTGAGGCTGATGCTGGACGCTGGGCCCAAAGCAAGACGGCAGGGCCAGCGGTGACTGGGTGGGGGGCTGAGTTTGCTGGAAGACGGACGGCTGGGGCACGCGGCAGGGCTGGGCAGGAAAGGAGCTCCCGGGTTTCTTTCTTTCCCGGGCGCCAGGGCGAGGCTTCGCTGAGCAGAGTGGGGGTGAGAGCTTGTCACGGGGGTCCTCCTGTGGGTGGAGACTGCTCCTCCTGACTTCTCGGATGTCGTTCTGTGGCTGTGAGACACGAAGCAGGGTGTGCCCGAGGCTGGGCACTTGGCACCTTTCCTCAGGGGGGACGAGGTGGTGGCAGGTCGGGGGGGGGGCACAGACACAGCCTAGGGCTCTGTGGAAGGGAGCCCCGCCTTGGGTGCAGGCTGCTGGGGGCTGTCCCTCCCCCGTGCCCGGCTGGGCCCCTCTGTCCTTCGGAAGGGCCGCTCGGAGAGCAGAAGGCAGCTACAGGCCTGGCCGGGCCTCACTGCAGCTGGACGTGGCCGGTGAGACCAGCGTGCTGGCGTCCCCACAGGTCCCCATCCCCTGATGACCCGCCTCTGAAGGGAGTCTGGCACTGGGTGCTGCTTCCTTGTTCTCGCTCCTCTTCCTGACTGGAAACTTGCACGTTCTTGTGGCTGCTTGGGGCCGGGGGATCCCTTTCTACCTGATGGTCTCTTGGTCATTGCCAGAGTGAGGGCCAGCCCTAAATTACCCCAGTCGGCTCCTGCCTTTTCCTTGCTTCCCAGATGGCAGCGTTCCCCACTTGTTCTTTCAAGCGGGGGACACTGGCCCTTTTCCCTGAAGCTGAGGGTGAGAAGGTAGGAGAGCTGCTGGGTGACAAGAAGTCGGATGTCCCGAAGCGAGTGAAGGTACGAGGGCTGGGGGGCTAGATGGGCACGGGGACTGTGTCTCGGGGAAGCGCTCTGAGGGCTGCTCCCGAGGAGGGGAGAAGAGCAGGTCAGAGTCTACTCAGGGGAACTCCAAGGCTCAGCTGGCACCACCCAGCCAGATTCTGCTCTCTGGAAGGAGTCGTGGCCACATTTTATCAGGGACGTTAGCTGGGAACTGCTGAGGAACTTGCCGGCGGTAGAAGCGAGGAAATGGGAGGCCGCCGTCGGGAAGGAGACAGCAGAAGCAGTGGGGAGAGCTCGGGCCCTGGCTAGGCTCGGGGTTAAAGCAGGAAGCTGAAGGGCCGCGGCCGGGCTCTGCTCTGTGGCCCCCACGTTGCCGCTCCACGTGGGACTCCCAGGCCAATGTCAAGACGGCAGGAGTGGGGGCGGGGTGGAGCCCAAGGCGCTGAGTGGCTCCCACTCTCTGGGGCCCTCCGGGTGCTGACCTGAAGTAGGGATGAGTGCCTGGGCCCGGGACGTCTGCCTTCAGTGCGCAGCCCTGGGAATCCACAGAGCCTGGGCTCGAGTCTGGTTCTACCACCGTCTGACGGTGTGACCTCGGGCAGGTTAACCTTTGTAAGCCTTGGTTCCTTCAACTGCAGAGCGGCCCTGCTGCGCCGGGCCAGTTACATGAGGGGATGCGTGAGCAATGATCTGCAGCTGTGGGGCATGAATGCCTGGCCCCATTGGGTGGGCAGGTGGTGGCATGAGGACAATGGTTATCGTTCCTTTGCTCATCAGATGCCACCTAGTATCTGTGGAACCGTGGACCTGTCTCTATATTCTTAAGGCTTCTTTTTAACTGTTTAACAGGTATTTATCATCAGGCACTGTTGTCAGGATTGAGGACTGTTCTAGGCTTTAAGGGTTCCCCGTGCCCCGGGGGTGGTGAGAGCTTCTGAAACCAGGGCTGAAGCCCTCGGTGACGCGCCACCCAGAGCTTGGGGCAGCCCAGCCGTCTGCGTCCTTTGGAGTTTGTCAGTTCCTCTCCTGGCCACGCAGGCCTGCTCTTCCCGAATCCCACCTTGGTCCTGTACTTGGCCTTGCTCGCGTTGCCTCCTGAGCTCTTTCCTAAAGGAGCCCTGCGCCTCAGCTCTGGGCTCCACGCCCTTCTCTCTCCCCTGCTCCTGCTCCTGCCCCCTGCTGACTGCGTCCCCCTAGAGCTGCATTCGGTCCCCAGTAGATTGGGTGTCACCCAGACGTGGAGATATCCTGTGGGCTTCACTGTCCTGCTTTTCAGAACTTGAACTTTCCCTCTCCTTCCTTCCTTGCGGCACGGGGAGAGACGTACGAGTTGGCGGGTCAGTGCCAGAGACGAAGTGCGGCCGAAGAGGGACCTGCCCTAACGCGTGTTCTTCTGTTTTGTCCCTCTGGCCCTTAGGATTACATGCAGAACATCCACGGCAAGGAGATTGACCTGCTGCGGACCACGGTAAAGGTGCCAGGAAAGCGCCTGCCCCGGGCCACCCCGGCCACAGCCCCAGGCACCAGCCCCCGGGCCAACGGACTGGCCCTGGAGCGGAGTAACACACAGCTGGGTGGGGGCGCAGGTGAGGTGGCTGGTGGCGGTGGGGGTGGGGGGGTGCTTTTCTCTGCAGGATCGGGGAGCGTGGCTATGGAGGCCCATAGAGGGAGGCGCTGTGGGGCTTCACTCTCCCCCAGCCTGGGTCCTCAGGGCTCCAGACATGCTTGCCACCCAGAGTCCTGCTCAGCCAAGTGTGTTTGCCCAAGTGCTGCCCTCTTGGGAGCTGGTAGAGGGAGCAGCGGGTGATTTGGAGATCAGGATGGGGCCAGACAGCCTGGAGCTGACAGGTGCTAGCAGCGGTCCTGGGGCCGTTTCTCCTCAGCTGGAGCCAACCAAGGCCGGTGATGGTGAGAACAGGGTCTCTAGCGCACGTAGCCAGCGTCTCAACCAGGCGTGCCGGGGGGACGGAGGGGGGCAGCTGGAAGGGGACGGGGCTCCCTGGAGCTCCCCCGGCGAACGCCCTTGGGTCTGCAGTGAGAGGTAGGGTCTTTGCTCAGAGAGGACTGAGCTTAGAGAGAAGCCGGACGCCAAGCAGACTCTGCCATGAGTCTGGCGGTGTGGGAAGAAGAGCTAGAGCCTGAGAGACTCTGAACTTGAGGCGCAGCAGCTTCTCCTTGACCAGTGCTCGCCTTTCCAGATGACACTGAGAGTTCAGGTGAATGATGCTTATGTTTCTTTATGTCCCCGGCTCTGTCTGCCTCCCTAGGCCTCTGCGGCCACAGTGTGGCTCCCAAGCCACATTGCTGTCCCTCCCAAGTCCCCGTGCCCCAGATCTGCCTTGGCTTCTGGACCCTCATTCCCAAGACTTCACTCTCCCTGATGTTGTCCTAGATGATTGGATCTCCTTTTCCTTGGACCCAGAAACAGCTGCTTAAGATGCTGTCCTGCCCTCCCAGGGGCTGCCAGTGTGTCCCTGCCCCAGAGGGTGCTCTGCTTATCACAGTCATAGGCTGCTGCAGACATTCAGTGGACAGGGGGCTGGGTACGAAGTCCCTGGAATGGATGGAACAGACCCCAAAGATTTGCCCCCTCAAAATGCTGATGACCCGCATTGAGCAGCTCCGGGTCCAGAGAAGGCAGCCAGACGATGGCCTCCTGAGTGTGCTCCTTGTTGGAGGCACGTGAGCACTCGGCACCCTGGCCCTGTGGCCCGTGTGCAGCCCCCGCTGACCAGTCTGGGGGCACGGGGAGGGGCTGCCATCTGCTGATTGAGATGTGCGCCAGATGCAGTAGATCTACTCTAGGTCAGGCCCGTTTTGAGGCTCCGGGAAGTTGAGATTATCCCCATTTGATGGATGAGGAAACAAAGGCTCAGCGAGATTCAGTAACTTGTCTGTAAAGTAGAGCTGGGGTTTGAACCTGAGTGTGCCTGACTTGAAAAGCCACCCCGAGCTCAGAGAGAAGCTCCGAATTGTGCAGAGGGAGAGCTCCAGTGGACTAAGGGAAGGAAGGAAGCTAAGGAGCAAGGCACCCAGCCAGCGCGGGGCGGGGGGCGGTGCCGAGAGCCTCCTGTGGGGGTGCACTGGGGGAGGGGTCGAATGGCAAAAACGGCAGGCCCCGGGCAGCCCTCAGCGCTCTATGCAGAGAGCTAGGTCAGGGCTGCTGGGAAATCACTGGCGAGCAGGGGCAGGGGGGCCGGGCATCAGCTGGGGGCCCTGAGCTCTCCCGGAGCTGCGTGCACAGTGAGCGGCAGCCTCTGATCCGGCGCGGGGTTCCTCGTATCCTACAGAGGAGGAGAAAGTATCAGTACTCTGAAAGGTGGGGGGAGACTTTCCTTGAAGTCAGGTAGCAGGATGGGGCTCTTTCCCCAAAGGGAAACCGTGAGACCCTCCGTCCTCACTCCGTCCTCACAGCCCCGGGCCCTCCTCGCCTTCCCCTGCGGGCGGAGGTGCACTCACCCACGGACGCTCGCGAGCAGCCCCGGAGCACACGGACGGGCACTTACCCGAGCCCGTGTCCCCTCCACCGCACGCTGACACCGACCTCATGCACACTCACACATGTCTCCTGCTCACCGGGCGATGTTAACATCTCATTATCTTTGTTACTGTAATTACATTATCCGCTGCTTTATGCAGAATTATCCTCCGAGGACTAATTGATGGCTCCATGTTTAATTCATTAATCATTAGCATCAAATTCGACAATTACAGTGCACACTGATTGTGGGATTGCAGGCGTAATGAGGGGAGAATTAACAAAGAAAAGGGAAAGCACTTTCCCTCCCTTGGGGTTTTGAGTTGGGGGGCTTGGGGAGGAAGTGGGGCCCTTGATGGCTTTGGGTGGGGCTCGGGATGAGGCAGGGACGAGATTTGGAACCCAGGAGGGGATGGAAGCAGGACATGGGTCGGGAGAAGGTCTCTGAGAATTTCGGAACTGTGTCTGCCTCTCTGGAAGGTCTCCTGCCAGGGAGCCGAGGGGACCCTGAGGAAGGCTAAGCTGGCAGGGACCCGTGAGGCGGAGCGCAAGGGGCGGGGTTCTGAAGAGCAAGTGCCAGCGCCTTGCCTCGAGGGGGCTGGAGGTGGGGGAGACCGGAGGGCCGTGTGGGCACCACACGTAGAACCCATAAGCACTTACTGTGTGTCTGGTCCTGCCTTGGGTGTTACGACGAATACAAGAGAAACACAAAACTTGCCTTCCACCTTTCGGCATCGTACTGTCCCCAGAGCGTTAGGGACGTTTGGCCTGTTTCTTTACCTTCTAGTGGCTTCCGCCCAGAGCTTCCATCCGTAGGCTTCCAGAAACCCCACCCATGTCCTCCCAGGACTGGTTTGAGGCTGAGTTTGCCACCTGCTCTCTCCCACTTCGTCCCCATCTCTGTCTCCTTACTAACCTCCAGCACCTGGCCCGCTCTCCCGCCTGGCGTTCAGACACCTGTCCTCAGACTCCCCACCACCACTGCCTTCCAGCCTCGGTCCCTGTCCTTACGTGGACGGAGGTGAGAGGGCACTGGAGGCCCTTCGGTTGTCACAGGCTCTGAGGCCCAGCGGCTGTCCCGTGGGCACTCTGCAAGGGACTGGGTGCTCAGGGAGGCAGCAGGACAGCTCGGAGGGCACAGTCAGCCCTGCCTGCCCGGGCCTTGGCGCTCCTGGAGCCTTTGGTTCCCCTCGGCTCTGCCATTCTTCCCTGATGGGAAACGAAAGATTAATTTTCTCCAGCCCAACAGGATAATTACTAATACTAATTAGACATAAGTACTTGAATCTGATACACTCATCTCTCGTCAGAATGGCACCAAAGCTGAGGCAAAGCAAATGGTATATGTGGACTGGAACGTGGGGCGCAGGGGCCTGATCCCGAGGCCAAGGGGGCCGGGGACGATGGCTCGACGAGGAGCGCTGCGGTGAGGGGGTGTCGGTTCCACATGTCCCCCTCTTCCGGCTCACAGGAAGGGGACTGAGATGCAGAGGGGGGTGAAGTGTGAGACCAGCTGCCTCCTGAGGTGTTGGGGGGCCCCCCCCTCGAGGCCTCTCGGCCTCCAAGAAGCCTGGCCCAGTACCTGGTAAATCCAGTTTTGGTCGGTATACTGCTAGAATTTCTCAAGTTCTGCCTGTAGCGTTATTTTCAGGAAAGTCTGTGTACCCCTCCCCAGCCTCCCTTCCCAGTCTGACCCTTCCCCCCACCCCCAGGTGCCCCCTACTCGGCCAGCAACTCGGCCTGGGCTGGCCCTCGCCCCGAGGGGCTGCACCAGCGCTCCTGCTCTGTTTCCAGCGCCGACCAGTGGAGTGATGCCCTGCCCCCAGGTACGCAGGACCCTGTTAAGCGACACAGAGGAGGGCAGCCAGCGAGCGTCTGCAGCCGGGGAGGCTGTGCTGGGATGGAGCCCAGGCCCAGGGGAGGGGCCCCGCAGAGCCTGCCAAGGCTTGTCGCAGAGTGCCGCAGGGCCGGTGCGGGGGCCTGAGAGATGGAGTCGGGCCTCCGTCCCTTCTCGGCAGCCAAAGGCCGCTTCCTGCCCCTCTAGCCCTTTGCTGTCCCCAGGCCCTGCCAGGGGCTGGCTGGTGCCGGAGACCCTCCCTCTGCTGCGTCTCTGCCCACCCACTGCTGTCCCTGGGCAGTGGCTCCCGCATCCCCATCAGCCCCCCGCGCAGCCAGCTCATCAGCCTCGCCGCGGGGGGGCGGACAGGGAAGCGGCTGGGTAGGGAGGTCGGAGGCTGGGGGCTTTGAACACGTTTTGAAGGCAGCAACTTGCCTGCCACGGAGAGGGGGGTTTCTAGAGATAGGATCCGGGATCCAGAAAGGTAGTTTTCCCACCCGTGCTGCCTCCAGTGGGCTGACGCCCCATCCTGTCTAGCGGGACAAAAATCCCACCTCCTCTCTCTGCCATCCCACCCTCCTCTTAACTGTCCTTGGCTCGTCTTCATTTTCTTCCCCTTTCGTCCATTTTTGTGCCTTGCTCTCACATCTCACCTTCTCCTTCCCCTTATTTTTTCTCCCTCTTCAGCGCGCACACGCGTGTACGTACGTACGTACACACACACACACACACACACACTCTCTCTCTCTCTCTCCTCCCTGCTCCCTCTTTCTTCCCCCAACTTACTCTCACCCATCTCCTTCGGCCCCAGATCCCCTCAGCCGTTCTGCAGGCTGAAAGGGAAATGGGCACAGCGCTGCCCTCCTTCTCTAGGTTCGGGTGTGCCCTGTCCCCTCCGAAGCCGGGCTCCTCCCACTTTTCCTCCAGCTGGGCACAGTGCCCGGCCTGGCCCAAGGCCCACGAACTCTCTTCCTGGATGTGCCCCCCAAAAAGTCTTCACAGGCCCCCACCCCCCTAGAAGCACTAGGCCCCAGTCTGAGCTCTGACTGCAGGAAGGAGCTGGGTGCTCTCAGCAGGGGCATCTCCTCACCTCCCGATCCAGGTCCGAGCCTCCCTGCGGGGAGTGGCTGTGGAGGGCTTGAGAAGGGGAGCTGAGGGCGTTTCCCAGAGTCCCTGTCCTGACGGCCCCGTGCTGGCCTCCACAGGCCTCCGAAGGCCCCTCTGTTGAGTCTGGAAGGAGGAAGGCAGGGAGGGAGGGAGCGTGTCTGCCTCTAATGAAGTTTGACATTTAGTGGTGAGCGCCGGGCGGGGTGTGGGAGACGGGAGCTTGATTAGCGCGCTCTAATTGACAGTAATTAGGCAGCTCCCTGATTGTTTCTAATTCTGCTATTAATTGTGAGGAGCGGGGAGTGTGATTGAGGATAAATTTGGTGCGGAGCTGCTGGGGCTTCAGCTCCCTGTGAGTTCCCTGGGCCGCCTTCCGCCCCTCCGGGCTGCCGAAGCCCTAGCCAGTGATCCCTCCTCGCCTTTACCCTGCTCTGCCTGAGTTCCCTGCGCTCTCCTCTCTCCACCTTCTCCTCCTTCAAGGCTGGGGAGGCTTTGGGATTGGGACTGGCTGGGCAGACCCCTCCCTGGGCTCCCCCAGGGTAGCCCAGCTGCCGTTCAGGGTGGAGCTCCCCGTGACACTAGGCGACAGGAGGCAGGTCGAGGCAGGTCGTGTGCTCTGCCCCCCACCGCCCCCTCTTCCCACACTTCTCCACCTCTCCCCTCACCAGCCAGTGGCCCAGCTGAGGTGCTCAGTTCCAGCCCCAAGCTGGAGCCTCCCCCATCTCCCCACTCCAACCGGAAGAAGCACCGGCGGAAAAAGAGCACCGGGACCCCCCGACCAGACGGCCCCAGCAGTGCTGCTGAAGGTTAGGGGGACCTACAGGGAAACTGGGGCACAGGAGGTGGGCTGTGGGATTCGGGGACAGTACTCTAAAAGTAACACCATTCTCTCCGTTTTAAGAGTAAGTGCTTTGTGGTGATTAGCAATAACCATAGTTCCACAACTTCTTTGGGTAATCTAGACGTAGTATCTTAGAAAAGCTCTTCCTTCTGCCTAATTTACACCCTTTCTACTAAAATGTGAGCCTTTCTTTTATTCCTTGTGGAAGGTAAAAGACAGCAGGTGGCTACTCCGGGAGCTCTTCCAAGACTTGTGGGCAGGACCTATGTTTTCTGTGTCTCTTGTATCACCCATTGAGCTTAATGCGTGCTGGGCATATAATAGTTGCTTAATACGTGTGTAGGAACTGGCTAAGTCTCTCCTGACTCGTCTTTAGGCTAAGGAATTCCAGGCCCTCAAACATCTTTCCGTAGGGCCTTTCTCATAATCTAGTGTTAATCATAGCACTCCTCTGATTTTCCCCAAAGGGTCTTCAAATTGTTCCTCTTCTCAGTGGTTGGAATCCTTTCGCTCCCAAATAATTTTAACCTATATCGATGCACAGTGTCTCCCTTCTGCTCTGATTGCCAGGGGTAGGGATGTGGGCAGGAGGGCGGAGATCGCCTCTGTGGGGAAGAGCTACCTTTCCCAGCCTACCTGTGGTATAGTGATGCTTAGATGCATGGCATGGAGTCCACTGTACCAGGGAACTGAGCCCCCCCACAGGATGGCGACTCTGTGGTTCAGGGGCTGTGTTGAAAGCAAGGTGAGGTGGAATGGTGGAGCCTGGGGAAGGAGGGGGCACCAGCATTCTTCCTCTAGGAAGAAGTTCCTGCTAAGGGTGCCCTTAGAGTAGGAGCCCAGCAGGAAGACTTCCAGGGGATGTCACTGAGGTGAGAGGCTGCCCTGGGTAGAGCCTGGGACTCGGGCCTTTGCCTCTGGCTCAGCGTTGCGCCTCCCCCCAGGTCCCCGAGTTCTCTCTGCGCCCCCGTGACACATGCGTGCTGCTTGTTAGGAATTATTCACCCATAGGGTGGTGACCGCTGGCAGTGAGATGCGGGTGGCTGTCTTCTGTTGGCCTAAGGGGAGCAGAGCTTGGACCAGCTTCACCACATTGCTTGGGGTCACAGTCCGGCCCACAGTGCCTGTCACTGGAGCTGTCCTCGGGTCCCCGTCTGCTCTCACATCCCAGTTTGTGGGGAAAACCTCTCCTCCTCTCCCCATCCACTCGTCCTTCCTGCCTGTCTGTGCCAGGGTAGTGGGGGAGGGGCCCGGCTCCCAGGAGCCCCACGCTGACGCCGTCAGGAATATTGGGTTTAATGAGCTGCAAAATGAGGCGGCTGCAGCTGACATGTACGGATGGTGCCCACACCCGCCTTCCCCCACCCTCTCCAGCATTGCCTCCTAGCGCCCCATTGCATCCTTCTCCACACACTCCGCTCGTTTCTCCAGGAAGCACCCCACTCTGAATTCCAGACCCATTCCTGGCCGTGCCAGGGAGGCGAAAACCTAGCACCCCGCCTCTCTTCGCCCAGGCCCCACAGGTGGTTAGGAATGGGGGGGGGTGAGCGCTCCTCCGCACGACTCCCAGTTGCCCCAGGAGCATGGCCTTTGAGGCCAGGGATGGGGGGCAGAGGACACTGGCCGGGCCAGCCGGCGCGCAGAGTTGTGGCAGGGGCGTGTCCCTGGCTGTGCGCACGGCGGGGCGCCCCGCCCTGCCGGTGGGTAAGCACCCCGGTCTCCCACAGAGGCAGAGGAGTCGTTTGAGTTTGTGGTGGTGTCCCTCACTGGGCAGACGTGGCACTTCGAGGCCTCAACGGCAGAGGAGCGGGAACTGTGGGTCCAGAGCGTGCAGGCCCAGATCCTCGCCAGCCTGCAGGGCTGCCGCAGCGCCAAGGACAAGGTTGGCATGGGGGCGCCCCTGGGGTGGGACCCCAGGTGGCCTCGAGACTGACCGGCCGCCCTTTGCCTCTTCCATGGCGCAGACTCGACTGGGGAACCAGAACGCAGCTCTGGCCGTGCAGGCCGTCCGCACCGTTCGCGGCAACAGCTTCTGCATCGACTGCGACGCCCCCAGTGAGTGCAGGGGCCGGCGGGGCTGGGGTCGGGCAGCTTCGGGAAAGCTCCGTGAGAGGCTCGTGGTTGGCCCTGAAGAGGACGGGGGACAGGACTTTCCTGGTGGTCTCACTCTGCTTGCCCGTGGACCTCACTCACGATGCTTCCTCTCCTCACCTAGATCCAGACTGGGCCAGCTTGAACCTGGGTGCCCTGATGTGCATCGAGTGCTCAGGGACCCACCGACATCTGGGGGCTCACCTGTCCCGGGTCCGCTCCCTGGACCTCGATGACTGGCCACCTGAGCTGCTGGCTGTCATGACCGCGATGGGCAATGCCCTGGCCAACAGCGTCTGGGAGGGGGCCCTGGATGGCTATGCCAAGCCGGGGCCTGACGCCTGCAGGTGAGTGGTTGGGCGGGGGGGCGCTGAAGCTGGCCAGAAAGGGAGGGGGCGTTGGTGCTCTGGTATGGGGAAGACAGGGACAGGCCGTGGCGGCCGAGGGGCTACAGCTGCGCTCTAAGGGTTAAAAGTGGCCGTTGCTCTGCTTGGCAGTTGGCCCCTTGGGGTGCCCCTCCCCCTCCCCCTCCCCGCCTGTCACTCAGGCTCCTCACAACAAGAGGCCCTTTCTGAGCCTTATCAGCAGGTCAGGGGCCAGCAGGAGGCGCATGCGCAGGGCCCTATCACTCAGTGGCGTGAAGGCCCTCGCCCGAGCTCGGAGATGGGGAGAATGGGTGGGAGATAGGATAGTGCATGGGCCCCCGGTGGAGGCCCCCCACCCCCTTTGTTGCAGCAGGGCCAGATAAGCTACCACGGGAGCCCTGCCTGGAATCTTGCTGCCCTCTCAGCCCCCTACGTCCCTGCTGCCCCCGAGGGGCCTCCCTTCAGTGTTCCTTCCTTTCAGCTTCTTCCACCCCCTTTGCGTTACCCCGCTGTATGCCGTCCATTTCTTAGGCTTGTCTCTTCACTGCTCCGTCCTACACTTTCTCTGTTTCTTCCTATTCCCCTTCGGGGTGTTCGTGTCATTCCCTGACCACCCTCCCTGGGCCCCGCCCGTTGGCTCGGGCCCTTCCTTGGCTCATGCCTTGATGGACCTGTGGTTGCAGAGAGGAGAAGGAGCGCTGGATCCGGGCCAAGTATGAACAGAAGCTCTTCCTGGCCCCGCTGCCGAGCTCGGACGTGCCGCTGGGCCAGCAGCTGCTCCGGGCCGTGGTGGAGGACGACCTGCGGCTGCTGGTGATGCTTCTGGCACATGGGTCCAAGGAGGAGGTGAACGAGACCTACGGGGATGGGGACGGGCGGACGGCTCTCCATCTCTCCAGCGCCATGGCCAATGTCGTCTTCACACAACTGCTCATCTGGGTGAGTTGTGGGGCTCCCTCCTGGCCTTTCCAGTCCCACCCTCGAGGGCTCCTCTGACCTATCCGATCTCCCCCCCGCCCCCTGGCCCTTTGAAAACCACCTCTCCGAGAACCCCTACCGTTCTTGCCACGTCGTGCCAACTGTGCAAATGTGCTTTCTTCTGCAGTATGGGGTGGATGTGCGGAGCCGGGACGCCCGGGGCCTGACTCCCCTGGCCTATGCTCGTCGGGCCGGCAGCCAGGAGTGCGCAGACATCCTGATCCAGCACGGCTGCCCCGGGGAGGGCTGTGGCTTCGCACCGACCCCCAGCAGAGAGCCTGCCAATGGCCCCAGTGCCTCTGCTGAGCTGCACCGAAGCCCTAGCCTTCTGTAAGGCCCGCGGAGGGGGCAGAGGGGCCAGAAGGACGCTGTGGCCGGGGGCCCCGCCTCCCTGCAGGCACTGGGGGGAGCCAAGACACAGAGACTGAGAAGCAGGGACGTGCAGAAAGGAAGGAGAAGAAATGAAGAAGAGTCAAACAAGAGAAGAGCTAAACGGGGGAGACAGAGGGACCGGAGGAGACATCTGGGATTTGAGCTGCAGCAGAGAGGGAGTGGAGCTTTTCTAGCCCTCTGCCCTATGGTGCCACTGAAAAGGGACAGGACCCTTTGGAGGTACCTGTGAGGAGAGGGGAGCAGGACCTCTCCCTCCTCCAGATTCCTACCTTCTACTGCCAGCCCCCTGCAAGCCTTCATCCTAAAATGGAGCCGGGACGGACAGGGCACAGGTTGGGGGGTGCTGGAGGAAAGAGACGAGGAGGTGATCTGTGAGTCCCATGTAAATTTGTACATTGGAATATTTATGTTTGTGTACATATCTGGTGTGTGTGTATGATGAGCCAGTAAACCAGACTGTGTGTGGCCTTGTTTTCCCTTGTTCTCTCTCTGCCCTTCCAGAAATGCCCTTCAGCTCTACTTCTCTGTTGCTGTCTGTACTCAGACTTTGAGTCGGTCGGCAGCACTGGCAGCGAACCCTGGAGGGGGTTCGGAGCTCTGTGCTTCCTCCTGGAATCTCTGCACTGCCTTCCCCTCCCCCCACACCCCGCCCCTGCCCTCCAGCTGGTGCCCAGTAACCTCGTGCCACACCTGGTCCCAGCCAGAGCTCACCCACAGAGGGACAGAAGTATCACCCCCCTTCCTAAGACTCTGGGAACTCTCACAGCCAGACGTACAGGGAGATACTCAAGGCACAGGACCAGCATTCTGAGGAGGCCACAAGGGTAAGTGGTTAGATGTTACTAGGACAGCACTTCTCTGGGGCCTCATGCCTAGGCTTTGCTTTTGAGGAAAGGGGAGGAGGTAGGTCACTGATGGCAGAACAGCCACCTGGATTCCCACCACCATCTTGCCAAGCTGGGGGCAGAATCCTGAGCTCCTGTTTTCCCCTTTGACCGTCCCTGATCCTAGAAAGACCCGAGGGAAACCCCTCTATACCTTTCTTGAAGGATGAGAACTTGCCAAGTTAAGGTCCCTGCTCTCCAAGGAGCCTGTTTTCCCATTCCTACAACCACTTTGCTCATGGCCCTTGCTTTCTGCACCACTTAACGAGCGGGGTGTTGCAGGGCTGGCACTGTCTGGGGGCACCTGCCTGTGTGCAGGTAGATAACCAAGCAAGTGCTATTCAGAGAGGAAACCAGACTATATTTTCTTGGTCCACAGCCCCTCTGCAAGGCCAGTAAGAGCCTTAGGCAAAGAGAAGAGTAGAACTGAAACAGGGCCTTGGGTCTATATACTAATGGAGTCCTGGGCTCAGAAATTACTAGCAATAATCCCCTCCTTTATTTTCCCTAAAGAAAACCAGCCGCTCGAGTGGCTGAATACTGCCTGGTATGGTTTAGGAGGTTTCATAGGTAAATCCAGAAGAAAATGGTAAATCAGGACCTTGGTCTCCCCCCTCCACACACACACACACACACACACACACACAGGCAGACAGCGTCTGCTCTAGCCCTAGACCCACAGACATGAATTCCCAACAGCCAAGGGACAGTAGCTCCTGTGATCTCTCCAACTGCTGCCTGGCTTCTCTCCTGAAGGAATCTAACCCCAAAGGTTCCTTATGTGGGCAGAGACCGCCTTAATCTATGTCAGGAATGGCGCTGGTGTGGACTACATTTTTTTTTAGCCTGATTTTCCAGCCTTGCTGAAATTTAGCCAAATCGAGAAGACCTGCCCTGGATCCGTGCGTCCCAACTAGGGAACTGACACTGTAGCGAATAACCAGTCACGGCCCCGGTCGCTTTCTGTTCGGTTGCCAAAACCAGCCAGGGGGCAGGGACTGCCACCGAAGGCCTGTCTGCTCACACGAGGCGTGCGGCAGATGTCTGAGTAAATAGTGGTTGGCGCACCATGGCAGGGACCGGGCACAGCAGCAGTTTCCTAAGGACGGTGAGGAGGCTGGCCAGGTACTTGAGCTCGTGTTTCCCTCCTAGACCTTAACCCCCTGAGTCTCCTTGCCCCGCTCAGAGCCCTGCCGGTTCTTCTTCTCAGTGGCTCTGTTCTCTACCCTGGCTGTCCTCCCGACTCAACGCAGGTCACGTTTCTTCCCAGGAAGCCCCGCTTACCACGCTCCCAACTTCAGCCGGTGTCTGTAACCCTCCTCTTTCCCGTGTCCGTGCAGCCCAGCTGCAGAGCTGGCACAGGAGAGAAGCCCTTCTGTGAGGGGGGAAACGGCAGATAACTTGAGTTTGTCTCGTTTCCCCTCCCGGTATACCCAAGTGCCCCTCAAGTCCCCGATCCTCACCTTTACTTTGTCCACTAAGGCCATTCCTTCATTTGCCCGTAGAACCCCAAACCCGAAGCTCCCAGTCCCTATCTCTGTAGCTTCCCCCACAGTACACAACCGTCCAGAACATCACACATTCGCTCCGGCCTCGTCCACTCTGCAGTGGGCCCTCTCAACCCAGCTCACTTTACAAATGAAGAGGATCTGGTATCCCAAGCAGCGTGAGCCATACGAGACCCCACAATTAATGCAGTAAGAACAGAACTGGAAATGAGTCTTACTCCAGGCCCTCCCATCTGGAATACCAAAGGGGGGCAGCGATGGACTCAGCTGCTGTGTCCTCTGCACAGAAAAAGATTGAGCCCACAGGTGATAAGGGTGAGCCCCCAAACTGCCCTAGTCATGAACAGGACTGGTAACCTCTACCGAGTTAGGGCCCGGACATACCTCAGCTAACCTAGGCTCAGGTACTTCATTTCCCCTCGTAATACAAAAGGGGGGCGAATCTCCTCTTCTGAAGTCTGCCAACTCTCCCAAAGAGAAGAAAGCAGAGATGAAGAAGCTTGCCTTGTTTAATGGGGAGAGAGAAAAGAAATGTGCCAGGAACATGGGGTCTAGAGGTGTGGACAGGGGGCAGCACCCAGATGGGAAGTGGAGGTGGTCTAGGTGGGGGGAGATGGTGCGTGCCGAGGGGTTCTAAGGAGGCCAGTGACAGTTTCATTCTGTTGCTTTGTATGCCCTTGTCCTACAGATAGGCAGGAAAGCCCCCACCACAAGGCAGGAAGGTGGAACTGAACTCTGGCTGAAGATGGAGGGAACGCGGAACTTTCCCAGTCTCGGGTTCAGACAGACAGAGGCAGATAGCTCCATATATACAAACTTTACAGAAAATAAATAAGGAGCTGTGATCAGCTTGACTAGGTTTCATCCTGGATTCTTCCCACCCCTGTGAGAAGTAATTCCAGGGCATTAGCTGGGAACCTCTCAGGCCCTAGGCATGTTAGAACCCACCCCCTCCCCAGGAGTCCACCTCAATCCCCACAGCTCCTCGGCATCGAGAACCCAAGCCCCCAGTCTGAGGGTCTCTGGAATAGGCGCAGGGCCCGGTGCCCAGGTCCCGCTTGCCAGGAGAGCACACCCAGCACTAAGTTAGTTGCCACCTGAGCCCCCTCCCAGGCCAGGGTCACAGTGGTAGCCCCTCTGGTCTGCAGCACCCTGACCGAGTCTCGGAGCAGGCACGGAACAGAGCCTTTGCTTCCAGAACCCTCGGGAGCCCCTTCAGGGCCGGGCTCCCTGTTCCATTTGCTGGTGCTGGCTCCGTACGGCAAACCTGTTGACATGTACCGGTATGGGTACGACGATCTTGGGGTTTCTCACGGGCTCCCCAGAACGGCTGCTCACATTGCCAGCTTTGATGCGCTTCCACTTGGCCCGCCGATTCTGAAACCAGATCTTGACCTGCACCTCACTGAGCTTGAGGGCGTGGGCGATCTGGGAACGCTCTGTCAAGCTCAGGTATTTCTTGCAGTGAAACTCCTTCTCCAACTCCAAAAGCTGCTCGCTGGTAAATGCTGTGCGGCGCCGTCGGCTCTTGCCCCCAGGAGCCGTGGGTCCCGCGGCCACCGGTGCCCCCTCCTCCGCTCCAGCCCCCAGGCCTCCCTTGAGCTTCGGTTCAGGTCCCAGGAGAGCCCCGGGGGCCCCTGCAGAACTGTCCAGGAAACCATCCTCGTCGCTGTCACCGCCTGAGCCCTCTTCCTCCTGTTCGCTGCCTGCTGGGTCTCCTGCTGGTGCCTCCAGCTTCTCCTCATCTGAGCTGTACACCTTCCCCTCGGCTGTGGCGAGCGAAAACCAACGGACGGGGAAGGAGCCGGCAGGGAAAAGATAGGCAGGTTGGAGGCGGCACGTGGAACCGTGGCCAGGCACGGACAGAATGGCGGCAGGGAGAGCCAGGGAAGGGAGGGGGTGGGGAGGAGGGGAGACAAGGACAGCACAGCCAGGACATGGGGTGGGGAAGAGGTTCAGGGAAGACAAAGAGATGGAAAGAAAGGTATTAACCAGCACAGATTTCACTATAGCCAGTGGTGGGGAGGGCAATCAGTGTACATCAAAGGAATGCCATTCCCAGGACGGGACCCCTCAAATCACCACCGCCACCACCCCTCCTCATTCTCTCTACCCACTACCTTCCCAGCTTCCTCCAAACCCAGGCCCAGGGCCTTCCACTCATTCGCCACCCTTCCAAATCCAGACGGCCCAGGCCCCGGAGTGAAGCAGTGTGAGACTGGCTCAGGAGCCTTTCCGTCGCTCCAGGCAGGAGGCAGCCCGTCTGCGGGGTAGACGGGGAGATCACACTGTCAGCCTCGGTTACTCTCCTAGGGATCCTCACCGGCCCGGGGTTGAGCTCTGTTCTGTCTCCCCTCTTCCCCTCTGCCCTAGATCCAGAATCTCCGAATCTCATTTCCAGATGGAAACTGAAGGGTCATCTAATTCCCCGTCCTCACCAACCCCCGCCCCACCCCAAATCTGGGCCCAAGAAATGTTACCAAGGGCTTTGGGACTTGTCCTTCCCCCTACTTCCAATTCTCCCTGACCAGCCCAGCCAGCCCAGAATGGGGAGCCCTCCCAGCTACAGGCCGCCTTCTCTGTGGCCAAAGCTTCTTCCAGTCGCCCAGCTCTCCTAGGCCCCTTTCAGTCCCTCCCCTCCTCCTTAACTGTAAAATGACATCATCTCTCTCCCCACCAAGGATGCCGGAACAGCACAAACAGCTGCTTTCTGCTCAAGTTCTGAATCCTGAGGACCCTGAGCTTGATGTCAGCGGGAAGAACTGGAGGGAATATGGGAGAAGATAAAGAAATACAAGTGCAACAAGGGAAAATGTAGAGAGGAAAATGGTAAAAGAAGAAATCTTGACTCATTTGGTAGATGACTGATTATTTGTAATTACAGCCATATCAAGTGTTTTAAATCCATATGTAACTCTAATACTCTTAAATTCAATCATCGGTTTTAATCTTATCCATGGACAGTTTTGTCAGAACTTCAAATAATGGATCATAAGTGTTTTCAGTAGTTGAGTTGTAAAACTGCCTTGTTTTCTGCCCAAAGGGCCAATAAGCAGTGAAAAAGTCAGAAGAAACCCAACCAATAGGAAAGAGAACAAGAGGAAATGGGTAACCTGGACACCAACTAGTCAGCTCTTTACCACCGAGTTCACAGTGTAAAGGGGTTGGGATTTCCTAAGGGCGGGAGTGCATCGGTCTATAACCACCACGCGTCCCACGGACACTCATAAGCTCTGAGGTTGAGAATATGACCCGAAGTAAAAGAACATCAGGGAACAGTGAAATGCCTTATAAGAGGAGCAGGCTGTGCGCTTGAACACCTTCCAGCACCCCTCGCCACCTGCCTGTGTTCCAGAAGGAGCACCTTGGGGTCTCCAGGACCAGCCCGGTAACCTTCCCCAGCCCCAGAGCTCCTTTCCCTTCCCTGACGCCATCAAGCTACACCCCTTCCCTGTCCTGGAGAGCCATGTTTACACCCTCCTTAGAGGCCAGACTTCTCAGCCCACGTCCAGATCGCCCACCTCCATCACACTCAGCTTCTTTCACACCTCAAGGGTATTTTTATCCCCAGCCCCTGCCTTTTCTTCCTTTAGGGCTTCATTCTTCATCTAATTTCAAAACCCGTGTGGCACACCCTCGTTTAGGCTCACCCAGCCTACCTATGTTACTCCTACTCATTGCTTTTCCTCAGTAAGCACTCTCTGTTCCCTCTAGCAGCTTCCCAGGCTTCTCGAGCACCAGCTTCACATCCATCCATCCGTCTGCCTGTCCCTTGGTCCATCTACAGAAGTTGCTCCTTGCCATACGTCCCACGCTTCATCCCAGACCTCATTCTAGCCAAATCCATGTTTTCTACAAGCGTCACATCCTTGGTTCTCTCCTTCATTAACGGCTCCTTCCCACACTATTTTCCATTTTCACAGAACTCAGACTTAACATGTCCCAAACAGAACTCCTGAACTCGCTCCCAAACCAGCTCTTCGCTATCTGTACCCACGTCCTTCCCAGCTTGGTTAGTGGTAATTCCATCCTCCTTGTTGTTCAAATCAAGCCTCACTCCTCTCTCTCACAACCCGTGCCCACTCCTGGAGCCCGCCCTTCTCACCCGTGTCCCCTGCATCCGACCAGTCCCAGGCAGCATCACGTCCCGCCTGGTTCATCAACCTGTTCTCCAAACTGGTTTCCCTGCTCCTGTCCTCCCCTCCCCTCCCCTCCCCTGCCCCTCCCCAAGAACAGATGATTCTTCTGTTCAGAATACTATACTCTCCACCTAGATTTTTGCACTCGCTCATTCCCTGTCTCCTTCAGGTCCTTACTTTACCAAAGAGACTTTCCCCGATCATCTTTTCAGAATGAAAACTCCCAGTACTCCTACCTTCCTTTTCTGCTTTATTTGTTGCTATAGTACATGTCACAAACTTTATTCATTTATTTTATTCGCTCTCTTTTCCTATTAGAATATAAGCTTCATGAAGGTAGGGATTTCTAATATATTTTTTTCACTGCTGTATCTTCAGCATCTAGAAAATTATCTGCACAGAGTAGGCACTCAATAAATACTTATTGACTAAATAAAAAACTATTCCCAAACACTTTCTCTCTCCCTTCCTCCCTCTCTCTCCCTCTTCTGTCTCCACCTCTGTTCTTCCTTTCCCAAGCCTCTCCTAATATTCTCCACAGCCCCACCCCATCCAGTGCCCAGAAGACATTCTCTCCATGAGTATTATTCTACCCACTTTTCAATATGTCCTCTGATCTCACATTAGCTGGAGAGAAACCCATATGCCGTGGGAATCTATAGAATCTTATGCTAAAAGAAATAAAGGAAAATCCTTCACATCATTACTAAATCCTCTGTCAATTTTTAAAACCTGGTTTGTAGTACATAGTAACAAAAAGAATAATAAAAGCTTGTAAAAACCCAGCCCAATATTACAATATTCTAAGCAGCTACTAAAAGGCAGAAACTGGATTTCAGGGCTTGAAGGATGAAATCATTTAGCACAGCTCCAAGCACCCAGGGGGTGTCCAATAAATCTAAACTGATGATGATTGAGATGAGGCTCCCAGGTTCCTTGATCTGGCAGGGCCCTCCTGAGATCATACCATCCATCCCTGTCTTCAGACAGATTCCATAAAATCAGGCCCACATAGGCAGACCTCCCTCAGTGCTGGTTTTTTTTTTTTTTTT